TCTGAAACAATCATTGTAACTTCTTGTCTTGACCAAGTTTAATTGTCTATAAATATATACCATAATGAAGGGTGTGTTTTTGAATAGGGAGATAATTGCTTTTCCCACTTGTACTTTTAATTAAAAATTACCTCTTCCACCTACCTCACCTTTATTTCTAATCTGTTCAACAGATTGTAGAAAAGCAAGTTTATGCACTTGTCCCTGAGTTCAGGAAGCATGACTTCCTCTTCAATAACAAAGGTAGAAGATTCCATATGGTGACCTATATTTTCAAGAGTTTTATGCAGTAAATGATTAGGGAGGGATACGTCCCATGATGTAATGTGGGAGGAAATTTGTCAGAGTTCAGCTGTGTTGTTAAGGTATGTTGTCTGTGATCAGATTGAAGTTTACCACCGCGTCCAGTCCCATGTTTTGTGTTTTTGTTTGCCTGGGCTTTTTTCGTTGTGGTTTTTGGTTTTTGTTTTTTTTTTTTTTTTAAGAGACAGGTCTGCCCAGGCTAGAGGGCAGTGGCACAATCTTGGTTCACTGCAACCTCCAATTTATGGGTTTAATTGATCCTCCCTTCTCAGCCCAGGATTACAGGTGCGTGTTCCCATGCCCAGCTAACTTTTATTTTTATTTTTTGTAGAGACAGGCTGTCATTGTGTTGCCCAGGCTGGTCTCAAGCTCCTGGCCTCAAACATTCTTCCCACCTTGGCCTTCCAAAGCGCTGGTATTATAGTAGGTGTGAACTACCGCGTCCAGCCTAGTCCTCATGTTTTTAGCATGGTTGAGCCAAACTCCTATAGATACAAGATCACTCTAACATCTGTGGGAGTGTCAGAGGCAGGAGGGCTGAAATCTGGTTAAGAGAGGCAGCACAGAACTCCCTGGCTGCCTTTTCTTGAATGGCTACTGCCTAGCCTTAGCCAGGAATGGCCTGAACCATGGGTTCCAGCCAGTTCTCTCTTCTGTGTGTAGCCTCTCCCTGAATGCACTTGCTGCATCCCCTAATCCGTTACCCTCCCTGTGGCCTGAGTAACCTTCAAGCCCAGCTCTCCTTGCTCCCCTCTGGGTAGCACTGTTGCCCGGCACTTGAGCCCCTGCCTTTTGGGCTCATCATCCTTTCCTGAGCTTGTTCTTGATTCCTGTTTTATGGCAGGCTCTCTGGTAGGCACTGGGGCTACGATGAATAAATAACAGTGACCTTAGAGGAAAGCATTAAAAAAACTAAAAAGAGGCGGTACGATTAATTTTGTTATTTTCTATAACCTAAGATGTCCACAGTATTGTTTTAATGTGGCATTTAGCCACATTTCTTTTCCTTTTCTTTCTTTTTTTTTTTTTTTTTTTTTTGAGATGGAGTCTCCTTCTTGTTGTCCAGGCTGGAGTACAATGGTGCCATCTCGGCTCACCATAGCCACTGTAGCCTCTGCCTCCCGGGTTCAAACAATTCTCTTGCCTCGACCTCCCAAGTAGCTGGGATTACAGACATGCACTACCATGCCTGGCTAATTTTGTATTTTTAGTAGAGATGGGGTTTCTTCATGTTAGTCAGGCTGTTCTCGAACTCCCAGCCTCAGGTGATCTGCCTGCCTTGGCCTCCCAAAGTGCTGGGATTAGTGAGCCACCGCGCTCAGCATGAGCCACTGCACTCAGTCTAGCTACATTTCAGGTTCTCTGTAGACATGTGCTGGTAGCTACTGCAGTGGACAGCACAGGTCTAGAGGCTGAGCTGGACAAGTAAAAAAAGCAATGAGGTGCATGCAGTAAGTCCTGGACCCCCGTTTTCATCAGTAATTTGTTTCTCTAGGGAATTATCTTTTGCAGGATTGTGAATTCCAAGAAGGGACAGGCATTGCTTTGTCCTGTTTTCCTCACCATTGTGTTGTAATACCTGGCAGGTTAGTAGGTGCTCAGGCTGTTTTATCCGATGAAATGCTAAGTACAGGATGTTAGGGGAAAAGCTAAGATGTGTACCTGCTACCCTGGAGTGGGGGTGGGGAGGCATCAGAGGCCTTCTCAGGAGAGGGAGACAGCGTTGAACCATCGAGTAGCGTCAGGGAGGATATTCTCAGGAGAGAGGAGCATGTGTACATGCTGGGAAGACAGCAGGTAGAGGGGAGCCACAGGTAGCTGTTATGATGGAAGTTTAGGGTAAGGTGAAAGTGGGGGAGAATGTCAGTAGTTGATGCTGGAGAAGCAGGTGGGGCTCAGATGATCGGTTTTTTAAAGCTTGCTAAAGATGTTATTCTGAGAATACTAGAAAGCTTTATACTGCCTCGGCTGGATGTGCCCGGAGTCTCACTCTGTCAGCCAGGCTTGAGTGCAGTGGTGCAATCTGAGCTCACTGCAACCACTGCCTCCCAGGTTCAAGCGATTTTTCTTCCTCAGCCTCCTGAGTAGCTGGGATTACAGGCACCCACCACCACACTTGGTTAATTTTTGTATTTTTAGTAGAGATGGGGTTTCACTATGTTGGCTAGGCAGGTCTCGAACTCCTGACCTCAAGTGATCCTCCTACCTTAGCCTCTCAAAGTGCTGGGATTAAAGGCTTGAGCCACCATGCCTTGCCTCTTTTTCTTATTTATTTTTGAGGTGTTTTCTCCCTTTACATTTCCTGGCCCATGGAAGGTGCTTAGTAGAAATGGTGGCTGACTTCTAATGCTTCCAGAGAGCCTGACAGGCTGGCATTGGTGTCTTCCGGTATCTGTGGGGAAGCTTTATTAATATTATGAGTGTGGATCAGATCCTGCTGTAGCCAGTGGCAAAACCTGGGCAGGCCCAGATTCTGCGGGAGTGCTAGGCTGCGCGGTACTAGATCAAATGTGCTTTTCAAGAATGGCCCCTCACCTGGGATAGGAGAGCTGTGCTCAGCGACATGTGGTCTAAGCTTCAGGAACTGATGTTTCTGGCATAGCCCTGAGCACAACCTCAGTCTACCGGCTGGTGCTGGCTAAGCCAGGCCTGGGCCCCGCGAGTCTGTGGCTGGCAGACTGGGGCAGAAAAGTCATGAGACTGCATGAGAAAGAGAATTCAATTGTGATTTTTCTGAGTTATTTACTATTTCCAAATCCCCTTTTATATCTTGAAGGAAGGTAGGAATGGATCAGAGATGACCACTTAGGAAAACACGAGTTAACTCCATGTAAGAAATCTTGATGATCTTGTATCAGTATCTACTCTTTAGTAAGGCAGAAAAGAATGCCTTTTTTATTTAAATAGACGTTTTTAGTTTTAGGGTCACAGGAAAATGGAACGGACAATACAGAAACTTTCTAAATACCCCTGTCCCCTGACATGCACAGGCTTCTCCATTATTAACATTCCGCACCACAAGTGGTACGCTGGTGACCTCAGTGAACTGACAAGGACACGTCACTGTCACCCATATCTGTACTGCACATTAGGGCTCACTCTTGTACATTCCATGGGCTTGGACAAATGTATAATGACGTGATTGTAACTCCTCTTTGTATTACAGCCACTCTTTCAAATGTCTGGTGCTGTGTGATCATTTTTCCATTTAAAATTGCCAGCACGAATCACGTCTGTTTTCGGCACCCAATAATTGTGGCATTAGAACTAGGCCTTATGATTCTGCTATTGAAAACTGATTCAAGAGGTGATTTCAGGAAGCCTGGAAGTCCAGAATCCATTGCTCTGAAGAGCTGTATTGTGTTTTGGATGATAGATCCTTGAAGGTTTTTATGATCTAAACTCACTATGGGGTAATAATGGACACTCAATAACAGTAGTTATTATGTCAGTAGCTGCAGGGCTGGGTGCTTCATTTAGTTTTTATAAGATAGCCTGTGATTGGCCTCACTAATCCAGTTCACAAATGTTCTTTCCCTCCAGTCACAACTCACCTTTTGCTTTTCTATTGTTGTTTAAGTGGGCTAAAAGGACTTTTTACCCAGCACCTTGGGAGGCCGAGACAGGTGAATCACCTGGGGTCAGGAGTTTGAGACCAGCCTGGCCAACATGGTGAAACCCCATCTCAATAAAAATGCAAAAATTAGCCAGGTATGGTGGCAAACCCCTATAATCCCAGCTTCTTCGGAGGCTGAGGCAGGAGAATTACTTGAACCCAGGAGGGTTCCGCTCAGTGCTGTTGGGAAACCAGTCTTCTACACCACTGAGGGCTTATCTCCTGGAAACAGGTGCTGAGGGACCTGACAGAGATGGAGGCTACAGTGAGCCGCGATTGCACCACTGCACTCCAGCCTGGGCAATAGAGCAAGACCCCGTCTCAAAAAAAAGGATCTTTTTACCTTTATATCTATTGGGAAAGTTGAGATGTAATTAAATCTCCAGGTATGATTAGTCGTTGAACAAATATTGTTTGAGCACCTCCTATGTCCAGGGTATTGTGAGTGCCATAGACAGCTGCCGTGTAGTAGCTGGTCTGTAAGTATATGCTGAATATTGTATATGTGAGTGCCTCTAATTATTCAACCCTGCAAAGTGGCCTTTGTTCCTGCTGGTTTCTGGAGAAGAAGTCTGAGGCTTGGGAAGCATTAGGACCCATCTTCTAACACAGCTTACAAGCTAATGTTAGTTGGGTTTTTTCGAATCTGGAATGGGTTTGCCTCCCCCTTGACAGGGCTCTGTAGGGGGAAGAGGCACAGGCACAGTGGGAGTCCTGGTGGGCAGGCACATTTCGGAGCCTTGCTGGTAACCAGGGAGAGCTGAGGGTTCCGCTGGGATAACTCACTTCACTGCAGAGGGCTCAGGCCCAGCAGGTGCTGTGGGCAGGAGACAGCTCAAATGCTGCAGGAGGACGAGGCCCGAGAGGAGGAGTTGCTTTTCAGTAATTGCCAACAAGCTTTCTCTCAGTGCTGTTGGGAAACCAATCTTCCACACCACACTGAGGGCTGCTCTCTCAGAAACAGGTACGGAGGGCCCTGGCAGAGGCAAGCAGGGCCGTCAGGGTGGCACCCACATGGTACTTGCTGCTAGTGTGGTCTCAGCACAGACACAGTTTAATGACTATATTCTCTACATTTTAGGCTTTGGACGTGGACCGGATGGTTCTTTACAAAATGAAGAAATCCGTGAAAGCAATCAACATCTCTGGGATGAGTGAGTATACATTCTTTCCTAGGGGTTTCTGTGTGGAAAACGTTGCATTTAAAGTCCTGGTACCATAATAGTGATGACCATTAACAAATTAGCCAACCAAACTCCTTTTTCGGGGCATGCAGTTCACAGAGGTGAGCTGGGATGTTTATTTTTTAGAAGTATGTTTTGTTTTGCCGGTCGTCTGATTCAGGTGTGGGATTTCATCCCCCATTGCCCACTGCACTGTCTGTCTCACACTGAGCTTCCTGTTTTCTGGAGCGTGGTCCTGTATGTACCCACTTTGTCAGCCTGGCTGATGGGGACCTGGACTCGTTCCTGCCTCAGTCATTTGGGTTTTGCCGTTAACTGTGTCACAGTGTCATTTCCATTTCTTTCATACCCAGTCTTGCCTTTTCTAGTGTAGGAATAAAATGAATAAATATACAAACACAATGTAATATTTGATCTAGATTTACAGATACATATATTTTTAAACCCACGCAACTTTTGGCTTAAAGATGACAGGTAGGTCACCTGTGGTATATCTTCCCTTGTACAAATCCTGTGAGTGATAGAAAATATTTGTTAAAAGTCATTAAGTGACTATATGATTTCACTCAGCAACAAGAAGGTGGCTGCTGTGGGGGACTAGGAACTGTGAGGAGTCCCTAAGAGACTGAAACAGGGCTGACAGGTTGCTCACGGGAGCTTGTCCCTGCTTAGGTACAGATAGAGTCTGGGTGTCAGGGTCAGTGGGAGGGGCCTGGGATCTGCCCCAAGAGAAGTAGTCAGGTCCCTTCATCTATACTGTTTCCCCTCACCCTCGTGGTGTCTTTCTTTAGTGAAAGAGGTGATTGGAGCAGGAGGACAGGGAGGGCCTTAGGTGGTCATGGTGTCCGGAGGGAAGGGGAAGAGCCTGAAAGTGCACTTTCCAGTTACAACAGGGCAGGCACAAGCTCCAATTGCTGCTCTTGACTCTACCCCCATGAGAGCTGTGTGAGCCACGATTGTGAAGAATCTAGCAGGAAATCCCAAGTGCAGGATGGTGTTACAGTTGAACATCGCCAAGTGTATTTAGGAACAAATTTAACAGAAGATTCACAGGAATCCTACATCAACAACTACAAAACGCTGCTGACCAAAATGAAATAAGACCTAAATGAGAAACATGTGATGTGCATGGGTTAGAGGAGTCACCACTGTGAAGTGTCAGGCCTCCCCAAGTTGATCTCAAGATTCACCCCAACCCCAGTCAGAATTACAGCAGGGGAAATTGGCAGGCCTTTTCTAAAACTGATATGGAAGGTGGCCATCCGCCTCTAGCTTTTTTACCTGGATCATGTATGGGGCAGGGAGCAATAATGATAGTTTTTATCTTTTTGAAGGCTTATGTATCTTGTGCTTTCTCTACATTATGCTAATCTTGTCAACAACTGATTCTCCTTATACAAATGAGGAACCTGCAGATCAGAGAGTTCAGGGTGTTCCGGAGATGTCTATGCAGCCGGAGCTCGGACGCTGCTGGTCTTACTGTTGTGTCAGGGTTGTGTGCAGTGAGCGGCCTGCCCTGTTTCAAAGCCACCATGCCTTCAGTGTGTCTGGCACATGAATGATGTATTGAAGACTTCAGTAAGTCACCTGGAAATGGTACACCCAGTTTCGTTGACAAGCACTGGATTTCAAAAAGTATCTTGGAAGATATTTTTTACTGTGTTCACTTGGGCTTTTGAGCGTATAATTTGAGGGATATTTGATATTCGGGTCAGATTCAAAAATGATTTTATAGGCATATGTTGAAAAGGCTGCCTTTATCAGAAATAAAGTGAAATAATCTGCTTCTTGTGTGAACACTGGCTGTGCGGCTGCTGCTAGTCTGGAGGAGGGACTCGTGTGACTGCCAAGGCTGGCCCAGCGGCCAGCAGTGCAGCTTATAAACAGACGTGCATTTGAAGGGAGAAGGTACTAGTGCTGCAGTGTCAGGAAGCTAGCCTGCAGGGATTTAGCAGCACTTCTGTCTAATTTGCCTGCTGACCTATATTGCTGAGCGTGTGCCACAAACCCCATTCCTATTTCTGCCCACCCCGCAGCGTCGTTTCCTAAAATGCAGCCCCCCTGGTGTTACTTCTCTGCCTAAAACTCTATGGCATTTTTTTCATCACCCTCTTTGAAGTTAGTGGAAGTCAGTTCCAGAGCATGTGAGAAAGGAGGAAGGCCTCGGTGGGCTTTAGGATTGTAGGGCAATTGGAATCAAGATGGTTCTCTTACTGCAGAGCCATCCAAAGATTTTAATGTGCTGGTAATGTGGATTGTGAGTGGTTATCGGTCTTAACCCTTTCCAATTCGTTTGTCTATGAAACTGTCACTGCCTTCCCTGATCACCCCACCGTGTGCCTCAGGTGAGTGCATGCTGCAGAACACCAGACGAGTTCCAAGCTCCTGTGCGTCGCCTCGACTCAGGCCACCTGTCCCGACCCTCCCCGTCTGGACTCCTCTGTGCCCTTCTTTGAAATAACTTGCAGTTTCCCCCAGTGAGCCATGTTTTGTGCCTTCTTCCCTCTGCTCATGCTCTCCTGTTTGCTGAAAATAGCATTTGCCACTTGATGAAAGGAAACTGAGGTCCAAGGAAGTTGAGAAGTTTGTTCAAAGTCACAAAGCTCTTCAATGACAATGTGGGATTTTAACTCAGCTTCTTGGGCTCATGTCTTTTCCTAGGCCCTGCACATAACAGCAGGCTGCCTGGCATGTGACCTTGGAGGGGGTCTCCTATTTTTGTTGTTCTATAGCCATCTATTATGTCATGCCAAGTTTGAGTTATTCTAAGGTCATGAGTCTGAGTCCTGAAAAGTCCTAAGTCCTAAAACCAGAGCCTGATCCTGAAATCTTTATTTTGGAACAGGTGTTATCTACTGCAAGGAAGCCACCTGAGGAAACGTGATACATTCTCCTGTCATGTGCTGACATCGTTCACAGTGTCTTTGGAACTCTTTAAAACTGCTTTTAGTAGCACATTCTTTTGCATATATTTAGTAGAGAAGTCTAAGGATAGATCAAATTTTTTTAGAACTAGATGTCAGAAATAAGTCAGGCATATTCAGGAAGGGACTGAGGGCTAGCGACCGCAGGTGGCTTAGATGCACTGTAACCACACGGTTATGGATTCTGAAGGCAGCCAGTTCCAAAGGAGAAGTCCTCATAGTGTTTTGATCATGAGAATGAGGACCCAAGGCAATTCCAGTATAGGAAGAACACTCATTTTATGTATGATTGAAAGAACAGTGAGAATAAATTAGCGTATATGCCTCATACTGCCATATTCCTTTTCTTGTCTCATATTTCTTCTTTGGGACCAGGATTTCCTGCCTCCTTTCCTGATTTGTGACAGATTGGCCCCATTTGAGCCCAACTCTGCCCCAGCGTCCCTCACTGCAGGCCGTTCACCTGTCGCTGCTTCCTGTGTGCCAGCTGTACTTCACACAGCCCCACCAGGGCTGTAAATGGGCTCTCCCGTCCCAGTCACCTGGGGAGGCCCTCCTTTGCTTCCCTACCCATTTCATCAAGACTTAGCCCTCTTTGAACTTCAGCATAGCCCTCTTTGACTCTCCTTTAGTAGATTCTTTTTTTTTGAAACGACACTTCGCTCTTGTTGCCCAGGCTGGAATGCAGTGGCGTGATGTTGGCTCACTGCAGCCTCTTAGGTTCAAGTGATTCGCCTGCCTCAGCCTCCTGGAATTACAGGCGTCCACCACCACACCCAGCTAATTTTTGTATTTTTAGTGGAGATGGGGTTTCACCATGTTGGCCAGGCCAGTCTCAAACTTCTGACCTCAAGTGATCCACCATCCTCAGCCTCCCTGTAGTAGTTTCTTATCACTGTTGTAATAAATTACCACAAAATGAGTTGGCTTAAAATGATACAAAGTTATCTTTCAGTGCTACAGGTGGGAAACCCAACATGGGTTTCTCTAGGCTAAAATGAAAGTGTCAACAGGGCTCTGTCCCTGAGGCTCTAGGGGAAATCAGTTTCCTGTGCCAGCTCCTAGCGGCTGCCTGCATTCCTTAGCTCATGGCTCCCTTCCGTCTTCAAAGCTGGCCTTGGCCGGTGGTGTCTTTCTCACACTGCTTTGCTCTGATATTTGGGCTGCCATAACAAAATACCATAGACTGGTGGGTTAAACAACAGAAATTTATTTTCTCACAGGCCTGGGGGCTGGGAAGTCTAAGATCACGGTGCCAGTGTGGTTGGGTTCTGGTGAGGGCTGTCTTCTTCCTGGCTTGCAGACAGCCCCCTTCTTCCTGTGTCCTCACATACCAGCAAGAGAAAGCAAGCTGTCTGCTTTCTCCTCTTATAGGGACCCTAATGCCATCAGGAGGGCCTCACCCTCTTGACCTCATCTAAACCTAATTATTATGCTTCCCAGTGGCCCCATCTCCAAATACCATCACCTTGGGGGTTAGGGCTTTCATATATTAATTTGGGGGAAGGGATGCAATTCAGTCCTATAGCAAACACTAGCTCTTCTGCCATTCCTCTTCTACATGTGAGGACCCTTGTGATGACATTGGCCTCACCCAGCTAATCCAGATAATCTCCCCATCTCAAGTTCACCTGATTAGCAACTTTATTCCATCCACAATTTCAATTCCTCTTTGCCAAGTAGCGTAACATACTCACAAGTTCCAGGGGTTAGGATGTGGGCATCTGGTGGTGGAGAAGCCGTGACTCTGTCTACCACACCTCTCCTGAATTCTTATGATTCTGAGGTTGAATCCGTTTCCACTTTTTTGTTCAGCTACAAATGAAAGGGTGCCTAGCATGCAGGGGCTGTTAACACTTTAAATATTGCTGCTGATTGTTCTCTAGATCTTGTGTATCTGTTGACCTTTGCTCAGTTAATTACAAGCCCTTGAGGTGAAAGACCAATTCTGAGAGACAGTGTCATTTAGGATAAAGAAGACATAGAGAATCCAGGAAGCCTTGATTAAAAGCTGGCAGTGCCACTGAAGAAGCCTGTGACATTAGG